ATTAGCATAATATTGCTCAGCATTAGAATCTTCATCGTCATAGTCATCAGCTGAATCACCAGACTCATCATCGCCTCCATAGAAAAGTTCAATATCGTCTGCCTCTTCAATGACAAGAGATTTAGAGTTAGATTGCTGACCTTCATTGATTTCCTAAATTAAAAAGACGAAAGTAACAATAAGAATATCTAGCCACTTTAAGAAATCGGGATTTTTGCACTTGTTTTATCTAACAAAAGACGCATAAAGGTCAGATATTTTTCTTATCTCATTTCACTCTGGTTTCCACGTTTTACTTAAGGCCACGGTAAAAAGAATATATGAATGAAATGTTCTAAAAGAAAAAGCATTCACCCACCTCATACCAAATCAATTATAGAGGCCGGAAAAATTTCTGATTTAGCGAAAAACAATTCCAGCTAGCTTGAGAAACATGTATTGCATTCTTAAGGCCTTATTAATTTTTTTAACGGAAGGCAACCTAATTTAATGACTTCCGCCTTATTCTCGCCCATTACCGAGAGAAAAGGAGGGAAAAAGTTTTAAGATTTAAAAACCTTTTTATCCTTCTCGTTTCCCACATCATTCAATTTCATCTTCTTTGTAGACAAAATCAAATTCCCGAAAGGATCCTGCTTTCTTTTACGTCGCTGCTTGCCATGTTTCTGATGATGGCGTTCACCAATATGTACAATCATTGATTCCGAACGTTGTGAAGTAGACTGAATTAAACATGGAGAGGAAGAGTTAACAGGCAAATCAAAATATTCATCAGCATATTCATCTACATCATGAATTTCTTCTTGAGCAATTGGAGCACGATTTAATTTAATATCAATTTTTGATTCGTTTATAGCAATATTTTGTTCAATCTCCATTACTAAATATTTACGTATGATAATAAAAATTTACACCTAAATTAAATAAAAACCATAAATTAGCAAAAACTTGCATTAATGGGCCTCAAACAAAAAATCGTCCGTTAAAAGACAAGTCCAGTACTTCGGTACAAATGATCTACAGTACAAAGGCTCTACTCAGCTAGGATCGTACAAAGAACTAGTTAGAAAATTTTGAACAAACATAATCCCTCAGGATTATCTGAATAGGATCCGACAGTTTTTGGTAATTTGAAAAAAGAACGCTGAAAACTTTCACTCTTACATATAAAGGTCATTAATGGACCCCTAAACAACCAATAATGGACCCCTAAACAACCTATTGGAGAAACTCAAAAAACAAACAATTTTTTACAAACAAATTTATTTTTACAAAAAAAAACTTCACAATAAAAAATTAGCGAATTACAAAATGAGTACAAAATATTAGCAAGCATATAGGGAACAAAGGAGAAATGTGAATATGGGGATAACAAACAATATACAGAAAATAATGTCAATTAGGAACAACAAATACTCATGTACATTATTTCGAATTTTTTTTTCATCCTCTTCCAGATTTCTTACTTCTTCGACTATTTTTGTTGTCAGATGATAACGAACGTCTAGAGCTCCTGTCTCCACTTCCCCGGTTGCTTGCCGTTGCTGTTGCTCCCATAGACGTATGGACTGAGGCCGTATCACTTCCAACAAGTCGCAATATGTTCCGGTCCATCCACAACATAGCCTGCTGGATACTGCAGCGAATGTCCGCATCACCGTTCCAAACGCAGTTCGTGATGAGCTCCGCAAACTCCTCTGGAGTGTCGTCGCTGAACCTAAGACGCTCGCCTGTGATAACCTTCAAAATGAAGAAAAAGTTAAGATTAATTTAACAACACTATCTTTCTAACCTTCCTGGCAACAATGTTGTTGCTTCCAACCCCGGCGTAAGGCGTAGCACCATTAGAGAAGATCTCCCAGCAGAGGACTCCATATGCCCAGACATCAGATTTTTTTGTACAAGCACGCTCGATCATGGTCTCAGGGGCAAGCCACTTGATTGGCAATCGCTGATCTTTGCGCAGCTTAATGCACTTCTCCTTGTGTTCCAATTCACGGGCAAGGCCAAAGTCTGCGATCTTGACCTGTTAGCAAAAAATAAAGTAAGCACGATTACAAATTTAATTTTCGCTGCAAAAATAAATTTTACCTTGTTTTCACTGAACAAGCAATTCCTAGCGGCGACATCGCAGTGGACAACATTTCGGTCGTGGACGTGGCTGAGGCCTGAAGCAGCTCCAAGACACATGTATAGTTTGCTGCGCACACTTCTCGTCTGGCGCTGTAGATGGTCCTTGAGAGCGCCCTCGGTTGCCAAATCCATGACGATCATCAGCGGCTCCTGACCCACTGCTACACCTAAACAATTGAACACACATTAAACTATTAGATCAGAGATTTGTGAGTTCTTACCATAACAGAAGATGACATTTGGGTGCTTGAACTTCCTCATGACTCTTGCCTCGTTCATAAACTCCTTGATCTGGTCCTTCGTGCATTTAGACAGCGTAGCCTCCTTGATCGCCACGTTTTTGACTGTTCCATCAGCGGCGGTGAATGTGCCAGTCCGGACGACACCAAATGCGCCACTCCCAAGCTCATCACCTTTCTTAATTGCGGAGTGTGATAGTTCCCATTCATGTCGTCCAATCGCGCGCTTTAACAAAACGTTTCTGCCCTGAAAAAGAAAGACAACATTTAAACTTTACAAGCCTAAAAATATAAATTCTCTCACCGAGCAGATGGAGGTGTTACTCTGTAGATGAGCTTCCACAAATTCCTGGATCGTGGCGTAGCCTCTGTTCTTCTTGAAGTCGATGGCAAACATGTTTTGTTGTGTCCGGAATATGTAGTGGCGTGGAACTCCTTCATAGAAAGTGGATAGTACGTACGATCGGGCATCACCGGCAAACTCCTCGCTCGTCCGAATGATGAAGTCTCCTTCCTTCTTCAGCATGGCTACAGCGTCTTCTCTCGGTAGCTAAATTCAAAAAGTCATCATTTGAAACTAAAAACTAAAAGAAAAAAACTCACAAGTCCATGGTAGTACGGTAGCCGCCACAGAGCATCGGTCGACATTTACAGGAGCGGTGGTTAGTTGGCGTAGTAACGTTGAGTTGATGTAGTTCAAAAGCTGGCAATTTTTGCCTTCAAAATACCTTCTTTTTATAGTAACTGATTTAATCTGTATCCGAGATGTAAAAAGTTTAAAAACCACTTTACTATAAAAACCTTTAATTGCATTATCTGTTAACCTCACTATCTGCAAATTTACGTTCTCCTCAATCCGCAATCGTTTAATGAGTAAGTTATTATGTACTTAATACATAAATAACGTTTTTACTCTTTCGGTTTCAGATTTGTTGGCATTTCTGGACACTTGTGGGTCATGGCAAATTTGGATGCTTATCATATCGTTCTTGGCGTTGCACTCCTTGCTCGTGGTTTTTGTCATCGACAGCTTCATAACATGTTTGTGCATTCGTCTTCGCAAAATTAAGGAAGAGAAGCAACAGAAGTTGCTGTTACTTCATCCGCCTCCAACTGAAGAACCAAAACAACCACCTCCACCGAAGCCCAAACCTATGAAGCCGACGAAAGAGAAAAAGCCGACAAAAGCAACGGAAGAGAAAAAGCCAACAAAGGATAAGGAAAAACCAGCGAAGGAAGTGGAAATAAAGCCTCTTAATCTGGCGTCTGGTCTCTACGAAAATTTTGAAGCAGCTAAGGAGAAGACGCCACCAAAAGAGGAACGACCGTTGGAGAGTACAGCTAGATCTTCTCGAGATATTGCTCCTCCTCCACCACCACCAAGTCCGCCACCGGAAGTGAAGAGTGACATGAAAAAGTCAAAGAGTGACGTGAAAATGTGAGTAGTTAACATTTATTTTCTATGTTATTGTTCACTTTTCAGCAAAAGGGAAATCAAGATTTTGCCAATCATGGTGAAGAAGAAGGACAAGAAGAAGAAGGACAAGAAGAAACCAAAGAAGAAAAAGCCATCGGAGAGGTATTATTTATTCGGGTGTAACATTCTTTTCGTTTTTCTTTCTTAGGAGCAGCACCTCAGGGGAATCAGGCAGCGATACAAAGACAGAAAAGCCAGCTAAAGAAACTAAAGGCAGGACTGTTATCCAGGCGAGTTTGAAGAATTTTTTGTTTATTTTAATCATCACTTTTTTCAGTTCCAAATACCTGCACTTCCAAAGTTCGAGTTTAAACAAGTTGGTGCAACGTCGGCAGCATCGGCAACTTCCACCACAAAAGGGAATACTACGGGAACTTCTACAGTTGGCCGTTCTACGACCTCGGTGGACACAAAGTGAAAGGTGAATATGTATTGAATTGAACGAGAAGAGAGGACAAGATTTTTATCTTGCTTATTGTATATATGCTTTATCTATAATATATCTAATTTTGCTTGAATAAATGTATATGTATGTCGATATCATTCACACAAAAAATTCGAATTATTGTCGAATGACTACGATAGTTTATTTAAAAATTAATAATTTTTACTTAAAAAATATTATTTAATGAAAATGTAATTTTAAAAACATAAATACAAAATTAAAAAAATAATAAAACGCTAAAAACGTAGAAAAAGTTTGAAAAATAGTTTTTAATGGAAAGATTAATCACAATTAGAACTATTTAGGAATATTAACAATAAATAATGAGTGATATTAAGAGCACTTAATTATTAAAGTAATCGTTAAAATATTAAAAGACCAAATTTGGAAAAAATTCTTTTCTAATTATAACTTAAGTAATCACGATTACTCGAATAGTATGTATGACTTTTTATGACTAGTAAAACATTAAGCTAGAGAGCAATTAAAAAAAAATTTTTTTTAATTTTTTAAGGAAAGTTTTATAAGTGAAAGAAAGATCTAAAAGGGTTACGAAAACAATCAAATAATTTAACAAAAACACTCTTTTTTCAAAAATATTTTTTAATATCGTTCTCTAGCCTTTAAAGAAATGGGGGAAAATATTTGTAGTTAATTAAAATTTTAATTAAAAGGACAGGCATATTAAGATAATTACAAAATAAGCTTAAAATAAAGAAATAGATAAGAAACATAACAAAATAGTAATTATTAACATAAATAACAAAATATTTCTATTAACATTTCTATTCATAAACGAATTATTACTACTTGTCCTCCCACTACTTCCATGTCCATCATACCCTATAATATAAACTAATTTTTGTGATTCAACCAACGGATCGGGTGAACGAGCTGTTTTTGGTACTGGACGTCGTCTTCTTAAATGCCTCTCTTCTTTCTCTTCTTCTTTACTTTCTTCAAAATTTTCAATTTGAGATAAACGATTGACTGAATTTGGCCATTTATTTGTTCTTCCATCCATTAATTCATAGAGGGAAGAATCTGAAAAATAATTTTTTTTTTGAATTGTGATGAAAAAAATATAATTAATTTAGAAGGAAAGAAAAAAGGTAATTAAATAAGGTTTCAAAATTTCTCCCAAATTTTAATTACACGGGACTTTGAACAAAAATTTTCTTTAGATATCAAAAAATATTTTTGTTCACCTTGTTTCTGATTATTCTTTCGATTTTCTTCTCCAAAACCCATATCCTTTCGTTGTCCTCTATTTTCATCACTATCATCGTCAACATCCCTTTCTTCTTCATTTTTAACTTTTCGACCCCCATTTGTTGATACAGCATTAAGTTGTTCTGTCAATTCCTGCTGTGAATGAACCAATACTTTATGCCTTTGCCCTCCCTGTTCAAGTGACAAAATTGCAGGGAAAACAGGATTATTGTTGGAAGAAAGAGCTGAAGCTTTTGGATGAGAGATTGTAGTTGTTGTTGTTGTTAAAGTTTCTGATGAAGGAAAGGAAGTTGGAATAATTATTGGCATTAAAAGATGTGCTAAATCTGTCCATTCATCAGCTGGCCTAAACAAAAAATTTTTTTTTATTTTTTAAAAATTTTCTAGTACCTAATTAAAGGAAGATTATTTGAAGGCGAAGGGAGGATAATTACGCGCAGTCTGAGACCTTCAGTTCGGCATAAACCGCCACTTGTTTGAGAAGTACCGTTAGGAGAACCATTGGAAGTAGCTAAATAAAATGTTAATTAATTTTTAAAGAAAAAATATTTATTTTAAACAAAAATTCTTCTTTTTCTTTTTTTATTTATCCATCTGTCCAATTTTTGTCAATCATCTAAAAACCACCCATCCTTAATATTCTTAAGGTTTTCTTATCTTCAAAACAAAAAAGAAAAGAAAAGCATCTTCTACATAGCTTTCAGGGTCAAAAATAAAATTTGGCATTGTGTGTGTCTAATCAAATTTGAGAGATGAGTGAATGCGCATCGGGAATTTGCCTTTTCTTTTTTTTTCTGAACAGTTTCTTTTAATTATTTATTCATATATTCTCTATTTATTTTTCCTATTTTGTATCAATTTCTTCCGAAATATTTACCTATATTTGGAATATATACTTATATGTATAATTAGTTGTTTACCCGTCAATTTGAATTCATTAAAGCAGAAAAAACTGAATTTATATCCAATAAATTAATTACCCAACCAAATAAATATTTTATTAATTAAATTGGAAAAGGAAAATTTAAAATAATTTTTTTTTTGGAATTTTTGATATTTTAAAATTAATACATACCCCTCTAAAAAGAATAGGAAGTAAATAACGTTTAAGGAATTTATTTATTTTTAAAAATCTTTACAAGTAAAAATTTAACTATGTACAAATACCCAAATATTTTATATCCTCCTAAAATTCCCTCCAAAATTAAAATTAAAAAAAAGCCAGGTGGGTTTGAAATCTAATCGGTTTTTGCCACGCATTTAAATGAAAAGATGAATGAAAAAATAAGGGATGGATTAGCGGTGTTGAGTAAATCAAACACAAAAAAGGACAGATGGACGGATATTTTATATTCTAGTAAATGTTTTCGTTAAGAACATTTTTAAAAATTTATTTTATTTATCTAAAATCCCTCTAACAAATAAGAGGGTAAAGTTTTTATTTTATTTTCTCAAAACTTTTTTGCTTTTTAAAAAAATAAAAAAAGCGAATAAAAAATACAAAATAAAAGCTAATTTATTTTAATTGATGTATTACAAAACGGTTAATTTATTTTCTCAATTTATTTGAAAAATAAAAACTTTGAAGAAAAGAAGACGCTTTCAAAATAAATTTGAAAAAAGAATTTTTTTTCGAAAACTTACAAATAAAAAAATAAGCATTTCCTTCCCGAAAACTAGGCTTTCCAGGCAAAGGGCTATATCGTCTAATAATTAGTCGAGGATCGCTTCCCGAATTTGGACCACAAAAACCGATAGGAGCTAATCCATTTTGTTGCTCTGGTAAATGACAAAGAATTGCTGATTCTGCTGGGACTAAATGAATAGCTAAATGTTTGTCTGTTGGGCAATGAAATCGAAGAACGTCTTTAAGGAATAAATATTTTGTTAAAACTTTTGGATGTAAAATTGAAGAGGAAGAGTATTTATTTTGTTGTTTTGTTAAATTTGAATTGTTTGAACTGAAAAAATAATTAAAAATTATTCAAAAAAAGTCTCTTAATTTATTCAAAAAAATCTCCTTTAAATAATTTAAATCCCCTTTTATTAAAAGGAAAACCTCCTCAAACTACTTCCTAATTTTATATAAAAACGCCAGCAATTTTAAATATTAAATAAATTACCCAAAAAAATTTTAATTAAAAAAATAATAAAAAATTTAATTTTCTTTTTTAATCAATAATTAATTATTTGCCAATATAATATATTACACTATTATCGAGAGAAAGTGTTTAATAAATTAATATTTTAATCAAAGCTCTTAAAGAAATTTTTTACAATAAATCGCTTTTTCTCTTCATTTCTGGATTTATTTATTTTGCTAATTCATCATTCCCAAACTTTTGCAATTTTTGTTAAGATTTGAGAGAAAGGTTAGAGGGACATTGGCAGGAGAAGGGAGGGAAGATTGAGTGAATTAAAATGCAAAAATGAATTAAAAAAAGGTTAAAAATTGGAGTCTCAACAAATTATTTAATTAATTAATTTACTTGTTTATAAAATAAAATCCTTTCTTATTTAAAAAAAGAGAGAAGAGAAGATAGTCTAACCTCTCAAATTTAAAAATTCTCTTATTTTAAATATTTAAATTCCAAAAATCTAATTATTATTTCCAAACTCAACTGTCCATTATCCTCCCTTCTCCCTTCCACTGAATGAGTGCAAAAATTAACGGCCATAAATCAGGCGTGAAAGGTGGAAGGAGAGAGAAGAAGCTAAAAGGCTCTACTAAAGGCCAATAAAAAAGCGATTAGTCAATAGCTTGGCCAAATGTCATATGCAAATTTTTGGGCACATTATGGAGAGAAGCGATCATTTTTCCGGTGGAAAAGGTTAGGGATTGGGAAGGAGAAAATAAAAATATTGAGAAAGAGGGAACAATCATTTCCCTTTAGGAAAATTAAAGATAAATTGTTGATTGATGTGGCCATTAAAAAAGAGGGAAAAGTGGCACATTTTGGAAGTAAAAAATGTGGAGATAAATTAGAATTAAATAAAAAATATTAATCCTTTATTTTATAAACTTGACCTCCCTCCCATGTCCTTTACTCTTTTTTCTATTTTTATAAAAGGTTAACATTTTTGGTTGAAAATGTTTTTGAGTGATTGTCTAGTTTTTATAAAAAAATTGTAAAAAAAGCTTCTTCTCTCTATTGTATTTTTCTGTTATTTTTTTTGTAAAAATAATGAAAAGAAAAGAAGTGATATTTTCTTATGCGCGTATTTGTTATTGTAAAAAAAATATAATTTTTTTTTGTTATTCTAAAAAAGGTTGAAATTATATATAAATGTAAATTTTTTACTAATTTTCCCCTCAATTGTGAATAAAAAATAAAATAACAATAATTACCCCGTTGTAGTCCCCAATGTCCAATCAACGTCGATTTCGTTGGATTTTGTGTTGCTCCCTTCAACAGCAGAAATAAAAGCGAATAAAGCCAAAAAAGCTCCAAAAGTGATAAATATAAGGGGGTTTGAATAAAAATTGGTGAAAATTGAATTTCTTCTTTTTATCCTGAAAATAATTAAAAATAATAATTAAATTTTAATTTAAATTGTTAGAGTAAATAAATATAGACATTGTTTTTTAAATGAATTCTTAAAGAATTAAAAAACCCCAAGAACTCTATACGGAGAAATTTTTTTTCAAAAATCAAGGTATAACAATCAAAAGACAAAAATGTTTCATTAACCGAAAACCAAAAAAATTTTTTTAATTTAAAATAAAAATAATTTCAGCAAATAATTTACCTATTAATTACCACTAAATTATCTTCTCTTTCATTTTTTAATTTTAAATTATTAATTCTTCTTCTTCTATTATTAATTAATTTATTTTGTTGTTTTTCTTCATTTTCAATTAAATTCTCTTCTTTTCTTCTTCTTTTAATAAAATAATTATTTTCTTCTTTTTCAAAATTTCTATCATTTCTGTTGCCAAAATTCTTTTTATGACGACAAAAATTTAATTTTAAATTTATTTTTGACGATCCTGGATCACAAAATGTTTGTTGGTTATCTTCTCTCATTTTTAGGAAATTTTTAAAATAAATAAAATAATAATAATTATTAAATTAATTTAAAAAATCTAAATAAAAAATTAAAACAAAGGAACATTCTTTGAAAATATTTTTCTTTAATTTTAAGAATTAAATACTTAAATGTTAAATATATTTTAAATTGACGGGAAGAAATTTAAAAAAAACATTAAAAAAATGTTCAAGAATTAATGCAATTTATTAAAATAAAGAAAGAAAAAAATCTTAGTCAAGAAAAATGATGAAAAATAAATTAAAAAAATATCTCCCCAACTTTATATAAACCATGATAGACAGCAAGCAACCGGAAGTATGGCACGCGCTTAACGCAAAAAAAGTTTTTATTTATTTTTTATTTCTTAAGTGCTTTTAATGGAAGGGAAAGGGAATGAATGTTGGCGCATCATGAATGGAAATGAGTGACAATAATTATTAACTGATTGAGTGGAATGGATTATGGAAAAAAAACAGGAATGAAGTGGGGGGGGGGGGGGAAGTAAAGTGATTAGAAAAAAAGAAGAAACTTTTTAAGAGAAAAGAATTAAAATAAAGAAAAGAAAAATTTTTATTTTAAAAAATATTCTGATAATTAAATATTACAATGATTTTGTATAATGATTTTGGTCCAAAAATTAAAAAATTAAAAAAAATATATTATAAAAATTACTGTGAGTAATTATTGTTTCAACCTTTCGATAGGGAGGGAGAGAGGATAATTATTAAAGAGCCAGGGTAATTATTTGACAGAGGGTAATTATTACTGATTTTTTCAGCAATCTCTGAGTATTTAGGTCCAGAAATTAAAAAAAATAAAATTAAAAAAATTAAAACAAATCATTGAGAAATAGAGAAATAATTAAGGTAAGTTTAACAAAATTTAAAATAAAAAGAGGCATAAGCCAAATTATAAGAAAAAACAAATATTTAAAGAAAATCTGGTTTAAAATAAAAACTTTTAAAAATAAAAGAATTTAACCCCTTCCTGAATTTGCAAGAAACATGATCAGCTTTTTTGATGCAATAAAATCTTGAAAAAAGGAAAGGATTAAAAAAAGATGGGAGGATAAATAGAGAGAGAGAGGGAGATTTGAAGGTTAAAGAGAAAAAAGTTTTATGTTTGTCTATAAACACGCAGCTGATTTAGCAAGCAAAAAATACATCTGGAAAAGATAAAGTTAATTATTTTTTGATCAATTTTTCTGTTAGCTTTTAATCTTTTTTCTTTTGTTAATCTCTGAAGGTGAATAAAAAAATATTTTTTTAATAAAAGGGGGAAGTAATAAATATTAGAAGACATTGGGGGGAAGCTGTGGGTATGATAGTGGAAGGAGAGAGAGAAAGCAGGGATGAATAACAACACAAAAATATTTTTATGCTAACGGTTAAGGGAGGAGTCAAGAAATAAAAATTTGTATATAAAGGTTTATTAAATTAGGTAAAATAAAAAAATATTAGAAAAGGCAAA